TTATTAGTACTTCTTTATTTGGTAGAAAATAACTATCAAATTTAGTATATTTATTTAATTCTTTATAATTTATAATTATTCTAGCTTTTCCTCTAACTTGTTCAGAGTATTTCATAACAATAGAGGCTGGACTACTATGAGATCCATTACTAGGTCTAATGAGTTTTTGTTCTAACGATTTTTTTATCTGATTTTTAAATTCTTGTGTATCTTCTATTGCATACATCATTGGTCTTACTCTTATTATAACATTTTCTATTAATTCTATTTTAACTTTTGGGTGATGTGGTTTCCAAAATAATAATGTATTTTCTCCATAAGCCTTTTCTAATTGTTCAATGATTTTTTCTATATTCATTTCTATTCTCGTTTTTAGAACCTTTTTATATGATATTCTTTTATTTTTTATTTCATTATTAGGAATTAGTTTTTTCTCCCAATCACCACCACGCTGGACTGATTGAACTCTATAAGGTTTAAATTCTCTAGAAATTTTTAATAAGTGTTTACAAGGTGTTTGTAACATTATCATATAATTGTTTTGTTTATAATATTGAAATTGTTGTATGAAATCATTTCCTAATAATATATCACATTCTGATTTATCAAATTTTATAAATTTTATTTATTGTTACTTGTTTACTTCCAATAATTATATTAACTTTATCAGCACTATTAATTATTTGAGTACTTTCTCCTTTAACACCAGTTTTTTTTATATTACTATTATTATTTCATGATTTTATTAAAAACTTTTAAATATTGTTATATCACTTCCTGTATCTATTAAAGAACATGTTGTAATATTTGTTTCTACAATAGTAATTTGGATATACATGGCCAATGGAAAAGTTATCTAATTATTCATCTAATTCTTTTTGCATAATATAGTTTGTCCATTATGAACAATATATAATCTTTCTCTTTTTATACTATAATCTTCTAATACATTTAGAAAACTTATTCCTTAAAGTATATGGAGATTTATATACATACTTCTATCTATATAACATGGTACTATAAGATCTATTTCTTTTATTTTTATTGGTACTTTAACTTCTAAATTTGTTATATGTACTTGTTCATCAAAATTTACATATTTATACAGCTTAGTTTTATGAGTTATTAAGCCTTTATTTCTAATAGAAGCTATATTGTATTCACTAGCTCCTGTTTCTATTAATATATTTGGTCCATTTATATTTTCTCTTCCATTATAATATTCGTCTTCTATTTTAATGTTTCCAGCATTTCTATACAGTTTTACTTCTTTTATTTTGCTAATTTCTTCTAATTGGTTTTTATTAGGTATTTTAAAACTTTTTGATCTTTTAATTAATTTTCCATCCTTAAATGTTATGCTATTAGAACATTCTCCTTCATTTAATTATATTATTTCAGGTTTATTTTTTGCTATACTAAATTCATATTATTCTGGAATTAAACTTATTTGTTTATTTGGTTCTATTATTTTACTAATATCTTTACATTCTTTATGAATTTTAATATATGATTTATTGGAATAAATATTTCCATAATTAGAATTGGTAAATGTATATGAAGTTCTATATTCTATATTCATAATTTGATCACCTGATTGCATAATATCATCTCTATGAAACTTGAAATGTAGTCCTAAAATTTCATTAAAATTTCTATCTTTTAATGACAATAGTTTGGATAACATGTAAACATAATTTTTTGATATGCTAAATTTTCTTCTATTGTTCCTAAATGACTATTTTTAAAATTTATTATTTTTTCATCATGTAAGGTTATAGTTAAAGGTGAATATATCCCTTCTCTAAATATTATTTGTATTCCTGCTAAATAAACATATTGATTTTTTTACTTTGTTTTTTAGTAATCTTTGTTAATAGTTCATCAACTGTATTTTTTGTTAAAAAATTTATTTTATGTTGTCCATAGTCGTTTTTACATATATATTTTTTTCTATTTTGTGATATTCATTTATTGTTATTCTTTTTTTTTTTCAAATTCTATCAAAAACTTTTCATTTCCCTATTTTTAAATCTAATAATAATTTTTGCAGTTTTCTAAAATTATTATTGTCAAAAGTGACTTTTAATCCATATCCTTCTATTCCTTCATATTCTTGTATATTTATATTATTATTTTCTATTTCTTCAATTTCTTTATTCAGATCCTAATCCATTTTCTTCTGTTTCACTTATATATACTTCTTGATCATAATATTCTTCAATATCTGATATTTCACTTAATTCATCTTTTATTTATAAATATTCTTTTTTGTAATATTCTTACTTTTTTTTTTTTTATCACAATCAGGTTTTATATGACCCATCTTTCCACAATTCTAACATTTACATTGACTTTTATTTTTCTTATAAATATTATTTTTCTGTGGATTATAAGGATTATTTTTTCTTTTATAATACCTTCTTCTAGGTTTTATATATTTTTTATTAAAATTTCAAAATTTTTAAACTTTTTATTTTTATATTTTCTTTTATTAACTCTTCTTTCAGAATTACATCTGCATTGCACAGAGGTTTCCATATCTTCACAATATATTTTAGTTAATTTTCCTGATTTTTTCATTAATTGTCTTTGTTGACATATGTATGCAAGTCTTTCAAATAAAAATTTTATTCTTAAACCTAAAATTCTAGGTATTCCAATATTATCTCTAACATATTTTTCAAACTCTATTTTAAAATATATTCCCCGTGAACCTGGTAACTTATTATAATACATATCTTGGTATACTTATTGGTTTTCATTACTATAGAATTGAACATAATAGTAATTTTTAAATTCACAAGTATATTCTTTAATTTTACACATATCACATATTGTTAAGTTTATTAATTTTATTCTAGCATTATCTTTTTTTCTTATTGATTCTTTTTCAACATTTTTTATCCAATTTTCTCCTAAAAATTCATCAGAAATATATTCCACTAATTTATCTATACCTTGTCCATCTGATTTGATTATTTTTGTTTGTACATTTCTTTTTATTAATGTTTTTGTATCATTACTTATTCCTTTCCACCAATTCCTAACATCTCCTTCAAAGGATGCAATTAAGAAATCTATTATTCTTTCAGTACTTTCTCAAGTGTCATCTTTATTATATAAAAAGAATAATATCATTGAGTTTGCCCAAGTTAATAAAGCCTTTTTAGTATCTATTTTACAATTTAAATCCAGTTTTGTTCCTTCACGATTAATTGGTTTATAATAATTATCATTTAATTCAAACCCATCTTTATATTTATTTCCTTTAGGTAGTTGTCTATCTCTTACTTTATCATAGAATTATCTATATGGTTTATTATATATAGGTGCATAGCTTTCATCTGTATCATTTAATTATTATTTAGATGTTCCTGCTGGATTAGATCCTCATCCAGTATTAATTAAAACTTGGTATTCACTTATATCAGTCAAGTTTAATTGATCAAAATTTTCTATTAATAAATCTAACTCTTTATTCATTTTTATCTTTTTTTCTTCTATTTTTAATTTTCCTAATGATTTTTCTCTAGATTATTCTTCTTCTTCTAATATTTTTGGTAATATATTCTTTCTAAATTCATTATCTATGCTTCCTGTTTCTATCACTACATTTTCTTTTTCTATATGTTTCTTTCCTCTCCGAGTCATTTCTTTTTCTATAAGTTTTTTTTTTTATCTATTTTCTTATCTTTATTTTTATGATTTTCTTTTAATTCTCTAATCTCAATTTTTAATATATTTATATCGTTTCTTGTTTCTTTTACTTCATTTCTCAAATCTTATATATCATTTATTAACATTTTTATTAACGATTTTAATTCTTCCATATATTTACTTATTGACATCTTAATTTTTTTTTTATTTCTAACTCATAAGTTAATTTGCATATTTTATCTTCCTTTTTATCTATTATTTTCCTAAATCTTCTTTCAGCTGTTTCTGGATCTACTAATTTTTCCTTTACTATAGTAAAATATTTGCTCTCAAATCTTAGTCTTTCACATTTTAATTTTGTTAATTGTCTATTTTTTGATATTCTCATTCTTTCTACTATTAACATTATATTTCTTATTTCTTCTTGTATTTTATCCATTTTAAAAGTAATTTATTTAATTTTTGATGTGTATTATCAATTGTACTCATATTTTTCTTTATAATATAAATTATTTTCTTCATCTTCATATATATTAATAATTTTCTCATATATATATATATATCCTTTATTGTTTCAATTATTAATTTTTTTAATACTTGTTCTTTTATTTCTTTATGAAGTTCTTTAATTATTGTCAAAGTCATTATTTTTAATTTACTATGAATAGGTTTTAAAAATATATAATTACCTTTTTCTTCTTCTAAACACCAATAATTATTTATTTTCTTTATTTTAATTTTCATGATCTCTATGGCTCTGATATCAATAAATGGGGGTACTACTTAGAGCTAACATAAATCAAATAAATTGGTAATCTATTAAAATTTATACAGTATTTTGATTTTTTAAGGACTAAAATGAAAGATTTCTATATTTCATCAACTTATTATGCAATATTATAAAGAGGTATTTTGAGTATCAAAATTAGCCAAAGGCTATTTTGGAAAAATGACCTTTTTATTTGGGTCATTTCTAGGTATTTCCCTCCATAACCTCATCTATCTATAAGTTAGCACATCTTGTCTCTCATCACGATTCATTTAAAAAAATTGTTTAGATAACTTAAAAAGATTTATTTGACCTTATATTCAAATAATAAATAAGCTAATTCAACAAAATACTTGTTTCTCGTTTTTAAACCACATTGAGTTGGTGACGGAATATTTGAGAAGAAATTGTAATCAGGATTAGCGTAATTAATTCGTTAAATTTGAAAAGAACAAGTTATTTATTCTTTTAAAAAAAGTAATTAATTAATTAATTATTTTTTACTTGTTGAAATAAAATTCCGTAAAAGTAATAATTTACTTATTTATTTTATTTTTCTCTCAAGCGAGAATAAAGATAATGAGATGGCCTATTTAAGAAAGCCAAAAAAGAAGTCACCGAATCAGACCCCTCCTCCAAATATCCCCAATTCCAGAGCATAGAAAATTCCAGTAATCATGTCTTCACGCGATAAGAAACCCTCAAAGTCCTCGAGTAGCCGCCCCGGCGGCATCCGGACTCTCTCCGACTTGAATCGGCCCTCTGGCCATGACTCAGACAGCGACTCTGATGGCCCACAGGAGTACTACACCGGTGGCGAAAAGAGGTCCATTTTTATTTCCCAAAAGAGAAAGAAAATACCTATGGTGTTATCTGGCTTGTGATTTTCTTAATTGACTGTTTTTACGTAACGTTTGTGATTGAATGGAAGTTTTTGTGTCTCTGAGATTTGATTAAGGTTGTTGGAAAAAATAAATAAATTTAAATGCTTAATTGGATTAAATTGTTTGTGTGTCATCTTGGCATGATTTTGTGTGGGTTGTGATTAGGTTGCTGTGAGTTGGGTTTTCCTGCTATCTATTTGTTTTTTACCTTTTGATGTTAATACCATGGCATTGAATTTTGTTTCCAAGATCACAATAATATATATTTAGAAGTTCGAAAATTGAATATTTACCATGTAGTTAAAGTATGTACCCATTTGAATGATTGGGCGAGTTGTATATGGGGGCGATTTTAATGTTGCTATATGTGCTCAGATTGTATCCCTGCAGTTATTTAACATTGATAGTTGCCTAGGACTAGTTGATATTCTTGTCGAAGGCTAAGTTGGTTATACACTCAATTCTGTTTGGTGATAAAAATGTTTGGTTTCTTAGGACAACGCATTACTGAAACTGTCAATTCTTTGAAATCCTGACACAACCTCCTGGGCCCTTTGCAATCCATCAAATTTCTAATATTGATAAAATTAGTTTGTAGATGTATGCTGGACTCTCGAACATTTAATTTTGGGAGTTGGAGAAATTATTAAATATTATGATTCAGTTTTTTTGAAGAAGAAGAGTTCCTTTTAGGTACAGAAAGTGACTTTTCACACTTCTAACCCATATCTAGCATGTTTGGATTAAGGGATGTTATTTTTCATCTTGACATCAATGCTTGATAAAATATATGTGTTACTTCATAAATGCCTTGAGTAAGTTCTTAATTTATCTTGAACTAGATCATTTAGACTTTCTTGGGTCAGAAATCCTTGAGAAAAGAAAATTATCCAATTTCTGAACTCGTAGTTCTCAGTATGTGATCTGATGGTTTCAAGTTTGCCGTTCTAATGGTTCTGGGAAACAATATTGTTTTTGGTTAAGAATAAAAAGGGTTAGAATGTAGTGCATGGTATTATTTGTTGTTTTGTTGCAGCTTGCAGTGGGTTTGGTTCCTTGAAATAATTTATTGAATCTTGCTCTGATGCACTGACACATTTCCGTTGCCAGTGTGTTGGTGTCCAATACGCACTTGACACGTGTTGAAATAAGGTTTCTGACACCGTTGAGAAAAGATACCGCAAATATAACTTAAAAATCCAAAACTAATTGTTTATCTCAATATAGGTCGAGATTATTAGTGATTTTCTTCATTTCCTCCCTTCTGGCACAATCTTTACACGCCGTTGCTGGTTTTTCATCTTGGCAGCCATGAGTTGGTCTCTCTATCCTCGAGCAGCAAAATTGCAAAGCAACCCCAAGTTTTTAGACTTGTAAATTTTTGAAGGCCAGAAAACACGCCTTTTCTAAATGATCATCACTTAAAACCTAATTTTATCTTTCACGGCTTCATCCGCCCTATAAAATATGTTTGTCAGCTGGGTTAAGAAAGTCGGGCTTTTTTTAATTTCAAATGTAATTTTGCCTTTTTAACCTTAAAAAAAAAAAAAATTACTGCTATGTCCTGAACGTAATCTGACCTAAATTGAAAAGCACACAAAATTTATTTTCTTGCACTAAAAAAAAATTAATTAACATGTCTTCTCAATGCTTTTTATGAAAATTGCACGTTAAAGGTGCATAATAGGAATCTTGATTGTTAGAGTGCTGACTGTACCCTCTCAAACTAAATTAAAATGGACAAAGTTGTATAATCTTTATTGCCTTTGAGCCTTTTTACTTGGTAGATTTAAGTTTTCTCAGAAGTTTTGTAGATTACCATTAAAAGGAAATAATCTTCAATGAAATTCCTATTTCAAACTCAAGCTCTATTTTTTTGGTGAAAACTCCTAGTATCACTCGAACAAATAGAAATCCTATTCATAATTATTTCTGGTGAGCAATTTATTACTGGAAGTTGTACTGCCTTCAGGTTTTGGGGCAAAATTTATTCTTATGTCTTGCCTTCTTATTTCTGTATCATCTAGTCTTTGAGTGTATAACTTACAGTTGTGCAAATTTTGCTCTGTTTGGGAAGAATATATGAACAGTTTGATATATAAACAGAAATAAATGAGCGTTGGATAAGTAGATAGTACTTATGGGTCCATTGTAATGTGGTTGCAAATATAGATTGACCATTTATGGATGTTTATAAATTTTGCCAAAATGAGGCTAAGTTGTAGTGATTACTCAAAATAGAATTAATGTTCTGAGGCAGTTTATCATTCCTCTCTCCATTCTTTGAGGAAAAAAAGGGGGGAGAGGAAAAAATATAAAGAAAAGAAGAGAAGAAATTATAACAAAAACGAAGGAAAAGACAGCTGGAAGAAGTGGCTAGCTTTACTATTGGAAGTGTGTGGTGCATAAAATGAGTACGCATTTAAAAGTCACGCGAGTTACATTACAATTATTGAAGATGACTTGTATTCCTTCTTAGCTCTTTTTGGATGCTTAGTGTGCATGAAACAAATCCTTGAACTGATGGAATGAGTCTGCTAGGTAGCTTTATGTTGCTTGAAATGATTGAGTCTGATCTACACGTTTTACATGTTATCATTTTCTCCACATATATGTTTCTTCACTCTTTCTGCCAGAAAAATTCACATGCCTTTTGAAATCTCATTCTGTTGATATGTATGATGCCATTCACAATGAACTGACTTATTTATCATAAAATTTGCAGTGGTATGCTTGTCCAAGATCCTTCAAAGGGTAATGATGTGGATGCAATTTTTGATCAAGCAAGGCAGTTGGGTGCTGTTCAAGGCCCCTTGGAAAATCTTAATCCATCTTCCAGCTCAAGAAGCTTTACTGGGACTGGAAGGTTACTCTCGGGTGAAACTGCGCCATCTGCAGCTCCCCAGCAGCCTGAGTCAGTAGTACACAGCATTGTTTTCTGGAGAAATGGTTTCACTGTTAATGATGGCCCTCTGAGGAGTTTGGATGATCCTGAAAATGCACCTTTTCTGGAGGTAACAAGCAATGCATGTTACAACTTAAAAAAGTTTTTAAAAGAAGAAGCAACTGGAGTATGATGTTAGATCTTCTTGAAATGATGTTTTTGATTATCACGCTTGACTAACAGACTGCTGGCGGCCACTATATATCAACATTGTTCATTCGATTAGTGTGCTTCTCAAATTTTTTCCTTTTCTATTGCTTGTGCTTGCTTTCTTTTTCCATCTGACCTGAGAAAGTTATTTTAAAGACTTCTATCTGTTGATGCTTAGGAGAGGAGGTCTGTTAAACAACAAAATTTCCAGATTTCATAAACTGTTTACATCTCATAACATGAGCACTCCCAACCCAAAACCAAATAAAGAAAAAAAAATAAAATCATTTGTGATTACTCTTGGGAGTGTTGTTCAGGATTTAATGGCATATAATGATATTCTATTGCAGAGCATCAGAAAATCCGAGTGCCCTAAAGAGCTTGAACCTGCAGACAGGAGATCATCTGTTCACGTGAATCTTGTGAGGAGGGATGAGAACTGCCCTGTAAGTTTATGCTGAATCTTCTTGTTTTCCTTATGCCTCCCCATCTTTTATGGGCATAGGTATACGAGTTTCACATTCATTCCATTTCTTTTCTCATGATTGCACATCTTCATTTTCCTTTTGACGTGACTATTGAGAATTTTGAATGACAAAACTGAGGCTCTAAATGAGTGTCCTAGATGGGGAAGAATAGGCGTTTTATTAAGTGGAATACGCAATTTATCTGCCGGGAGCATCTTTTGACTTTTTCATTACTGATTCTACCTTTGAAATAAATGTCTGTGATTGATTAAGTATTTACATTCTCTTTCATGTTTTTGCAGGAACCAGAGAAACGTCAGGTTCCATTTCAAGGTACTGGTAGAACTCTAGGAAGTAGCTCCGCAACTGAGAACGGGGTCGAGGCAACTGTTTCTGTTCCACTCAGAACTGCTCCATCTCCTTCTGCAGGCTTGGTTGTTGACCAATCACTGCCTTCCACCTCAATTCAGCTACGATTGGCTGATGGAACACGCATGGTAGCACGCTTCAACTATCAGCATACTATAGATGATATCCGGTCCTTCATTGATGCATCTAGGCCGGGAGGAACCAGGACTTATCAGCTGCAATCTGTTGGATTTCCTCCCAAGGTTCTCACTGATCCGAACCAGACAATTGAGGAAGCCGGGTTATTGAATTCAGTCGTTATTCAGAAACTGTGATTGGCTATGTGAAAATTTGTTTCTCAGTTTCTCACAATAGCTACTTGTATTTGGTACCAAACTTGGGATTTATGTTTCTAAAAGCAACATTTATGTTTGAAGTTGAAGATAAACATGTATAAAAGATTCGTTTGAATAGGCTGCTCTGTTTAACTACGAATCAAGTCTACTGGGAGAGAGCTTCATTTCTGAACTCAACATTGTTATGGAATATTTGACTTGTATAACGGATTATATGAGCGCAAGCAAAAATTGCCAGATCAAACTGAAGCCATTGTAATTTATATGGTTTGGCTTCGGGTAATGAGCAAAAAACATCCCTATCGTTTGTACTCATTGTGAAAATAGTCCCTATTGTTTAGAACTTGGTATTTACACCCTCATTTCAAACCTTTCTTGCAGTATTGATCCTTTTCGTCATATTCCGTTAAATACCTTCTGTTAAATATGTGTAATTTGATGTAAAATGTTCCTATTGTTTGCTATAATTGCGCAAAGTCCCTATCATTTCAATTTTGACATTTGATTATTCACATCGACATTTCTTTGCTTAAAATTGCATTCATTTTTTCTATTATAACATTATAAAATAACTAATCTACCATCTTTAAATAAAAAAAAATAGAAAAAAGAAATAATATAAAAAAATTGCATATAGAGTTTCTAATATTTTTTAAAAATTACAAACAAATCTCACATATAAAAATTTAAAACATTCTAATAAAAAAAATTTTATATTCCCAAATAACCCACCTACCCTACTCGTACACCTATCCTCCACCACCAAAATAATTAAAAAGAGAATTAAAAGTATGAAAAAATATTTGATGAGGTATAAATACCATTTTGTTTTTATAAATTTTTTCTATTTTTAATTATTTTTATTTTTATTATATTGTTAATTATCTCTTTAATTAATTTTGTAATGGTGGTGGTGGGGTGTAGGGGATGGGCGTAGGGTATTTAGGTTAATTGGTAAGATGAAATGTTTTTGTTTATAAAAATGTTTCAATTATTTTTTTGAGACTTGTTTGTACTTTAAAAAAAATTATAAACTTTAGATATTATTTCTATTTTCTATTTGGTTCTTTAAATATGATGATAAATTAGTCATTTCATAATGTTATAACGGAAAAATGGACGCAAGGACCTTTTAAGCAAAAAAAAAAACGTTGATTTGAATATCCAAATATCAAAATTGAAATGATAGGGACTATGTGCATAATTACAACAAACAATAGACCTTTTACATCAAATTACACATATTTAACAGATGGATTTAACGGAATATGACGGAAAAGACCAATTCTACAAGAAAGGTCTGAAATGAGGGTATAAATAGCAAGTTCAAAACGATAGGGACCATTTTTGCAACAAGTACAAACGATAGGGACATTTTTTTGCTAATGACCCTTTGGCTTCCGACTTTGATTCTTTATTCATTGTAGTTGCTAAGCTGGACATCACAGCTGGATTATTTGTTATGAAAAGTCAGTTGCTTCGTGATATGGAGTCTTGAATGCGAAACCTGAATCATCACTGGACCGTCTCTGGATAATGCTCGCCCTCTGCATCAAGCGAACCAGTGCTTGCACAACCTCAGACATGGGGGGCCTAAACTCGGGTTCAGGCTGTATGGAAATCAAAAATTAATAATATTTAAACGCTAGCACAGAAAAATTTTGGCACCCAAACCTTTACCTGGACACAAAGGGCAATAATGTCTGCACACCGGGACAATGATTTTGCAGGGTACATGCCATCTAGTGAAGGGTCAACCATCTTTGCTAAAGCGTCAATATCATGAAGTTGCGGAGTGGCCCATCTCACGAGTGATTGTTCTGATCTCACTCTTGAACTGTACCACGAGCCAGGGAAAATGAAGGAAGAAATCAAGAGTGGAGTCATCCTGAGAAGTGACCGAGAGAATAAAACTGTGATAGCCAAATCATGTAGGATTAGGTTTACCTATCAAGTGGCTTCCGACCCGTTAGAAGCTCCAACATAACCACACCAAAGCTATATACATCGCTCTTTACAGTGTATATTCCAGATAAGGCGAACTCAGGAGCACTGTAACCAAATGAACCAACCATCTGGGTCGATGAAATCTGTCAATATAGTAATGGAAGTTAGAATATCAGAAGCTACCTTCGTCGGCCCTGATGCTGATTGCCACTGTTTCGGATCAGCGCAATAAACTAGTAAACAAATCATATAACAACTCTATATTAACTGATACTTTCCAGTAAGCTGAAACGCAATTCAATTTCTATTTCCCGTCGGATTTTTCCAACTAGAAAGACATGAATAAACTTCTCAATTTCCCTTCACATGTCAATTACATAACATATGTACCTGTCGTTCTGTGTTTGGAGTCAGAGTAGCTAATCCACAGTCTGACAAATGGGGATTGAGCTCTTCATCTAGTAAAATGTTAGCTGATTTTAAGTTTTTATGTACAACCGAAGGTAAACACACTTCGTGCAAGTACCTAAGCAAAGAAGCTTCATTTTAGTAAGCAAACCCCATGAGAGAGAGGGAGCGGGGAAGGTTCTTTAAAACTCAATACACATGCATACTCTAAAGCCCGAGCAGTGCCAAGTGCTAGTCTAACCCGTGCATTCCATGTAAGCATCTTGCTTCTCTCATCAGCAAAGTGCAACATATCATGCAAACTGCCATTTCCAACATAATCATAAACCAGAAGACGTTGTCCATGCTCTGTACAATATCCAGCCAACGGAACAACGTTGGGGTGCCTCAGTCGTGACATATTTGAAACAGCTTCAAGAAAATTATCTTCCTCCTGTAGTGACAGTGCTGCATTGTCTATCTTCTTAATAGCCATAATCTGAAATAAATCACATACAAGAACATTCATTTCACCCTTTTGAATTGTTTAAGAGATAAGCATAAGGATACTTTTCACTTTCAGACAATGTGACATTGCCAAGTGTCATGCCACAGTTTCCTCATCTTGATGTTATGTCATCTGAACAAGTTTTATTATTATTATTATTTTTTTTGAGGTGAGAAATGAAAAGATCCTATTTATCAACATTAACAGCTCTTTATCGAAAGCAGTTCATTATCTATATTGAGTGTGAGTCTCATCTGAACAGGTAAAATGGGAATTCAGTTTAGTCCATTATAAAGTAGCTATTTCCAAGCAGGAGACTAATGATTTTTACTTGCTTAAATTTCATAATATTTAACTGTTCAACAATCAAATAAAGAAATTGTTTATGTACTCAGATATGTTATAGCCATGAGAAAAATAAAAAAAATGAGATTACCTTTCCATTTGGGAACTCTGCTCTGTACACACGACCAAGGGAACCTTCACCAACTAGATTTTCTTGACAAAAGCTATTTGTTGCAGTTTGAAGCGCAGCAACTGTATAAGATGTGGCCGTTACAGGAGACTTCATTCTTTTTATAGATCCATTTTTCCCTTGTATTCTTTCAATTGTCACCCTTTCTGCTGGCAGAGGCTTTAAATCAGCTACAGTGACTGTAGAATTTGTCCTTTGCTCTTGCATCTCCATATTCACTAGAAACAAAGCAGAGAGTTGATAATGCATAAATTTAGAGCCACCTAAAAAATGAACAAAAAACATGAAAAGATATTTGGAATATTAGAATTATTTGTAAACAGATGAGGATCTTGATTCTCTTAATTCTAAACTTAATATATTGCAGAACTCACAAAAAGGATAAAAGTAAAAAGTACATTATACGCACCCAGTAGCGGCCAATTAAGTTTAGATTGACATTTGACAGTAAAACAAATTTATGATTAACATATGCAAAATTATCAAAAGATAAGTATAGTTGTCATTACTCTGAAAGTTGAAACAACTATAACAGTATAGTTGTCATTACTCAGTTGAAAGTTGAAACAACTATAACAAGAAGACTAGTAAAGACCTAAATAAAGCGGTGTATGGCAAAAAGATCTGAAGCTTTAGAAAGAATTACATGTTATAGCAAGTTAGATGACAGTGGCAAATAACTAGAATCTTTTAAACTTTATTGCTGTGCACTTTATGCATAAGGAATATACTAGAAAAATGATGTTCAATGCTATCAGGATGTCCATGTACAGATAAACTTGATTTGAAAGGTAGTATGCCTAACCAAATATTTCTTAAGAAAATTAAGAGAGAACTTAACAGCAAACAACTCAGGAGCATGAGATCCTGAACCTATGTGCAGAAAAAGCTACAATCAAAGTAAAGGAACCTGGAGTTATGCAAAGCAGACTACTCTTTGTAGAACACAAAAATTGACTCGTGTCAGTAGAAAAAGAGAGCAAAAAATCTACACATGAAATATTAGCAATATGTACATCATAGCTAAGTTGCACGGACACGGACATGGACTCAGACTCGGATATGCGACACGGATACAACTCAATCGCGCCGACATGTGATTTTTCAAAAAAGTAGGACATAGAAACGTTGGTTTAAAATCTTCAAAATTTTAAATTCATATGTTAGATCTTTATTTTAATATTTTTTAATATAGGAAATGGCACATAGCACGTTTGACACTTGAGCAAGGAGTGTCTCTAAAGTATCCTCGAGTGTCGTAATTTAAAAATATATATAAATAACGGAACAAGGGCACATAGCTTGTTTGATACATGTAGTGTCCAGGTCCAACACCGCTCTACAAGTGTCTAATGCAGATACGTCCTGCTAGTAGGAGTGTTTGTCCATCAAACTACTATCAAAGACAAGGCCACCATCCAAACATCAGGTCTAAATAACAAATGAGAAGTTTACGAAGTAATTATTGTGATGACAGGAAACAGCTACCTTTATCTGTGCTGACAGGAAAACTTGCTGCCGAGGATGGTCGTGCAACAATTTCCTTCTTGTTCCCCTTTTGAAGACAAAAAACAAGTGCAAGCATGACAAAGATAACTGTCATTGAAGATCCTACAACTATACCTATAATAGGACCAGTTGTCAACCCATTCTTTTTGTTTCCACTGTGTTGATTAGAAGTTGGGTGATCAGAATCCTGCGGTGAATGACCACTAGGAGGAGAACGATTTCTGTTGTTGCGAGAGCTACCTGGAGGAGGAGAGGTGAATGGTGGCAGCGGTGGAGCTGGGCCATTGGCAAATGCATTTCCATCGTATCTGTTTTTGACATACAAGGCACATTAAAAAAATAATAGCATCATAATTACAGAGATATTTAAATGCATGCAGTCACTCACATAAAATTAGGGATAGAGCTTAGTTCTTTTGGTATCCACCCACTAAAATGGTTGTTCGCAACATTTCTGCACAAAATAATATTAGCAATAGCATCTACATG